AATAATGGTTAATTAATATTTAAAATAATTTTTTTTTTTTTTTTTTGACTTTACAAAATTTCATTTTTACTAATTTCTAATTTTAATTTTTTTTTAATTTAGCAAAATTATGAACTTAGAGAAACTAACTCACAACTTAATTGTGAAATCGAATCTCAAATTTTAAAATTTAATATCCATAAAGAACAAGCAGAAGAAAAGTGAGAGAATGCTTTTGAAAATTTATCTGAAATCAAAAGAGTTACAACAAAGCAAATTAAAACATTAGGCGCAAAGTTAAATGAATCTGAATCAACATTAGCTCTCAAATATAAACAATGCGAAGAGTTAATGTTCCTCAAATAGTTCAAGCTGTTACTCAAGTGACAATGATTCATCTGGTAGCTCAGATGTCTAATCAAGTGATAGTTCAAATGACTCTAATAATAGTTCAACAAATAAATGGTCAGGTTCTTGTTCCTCAAATAGTTCAAGCTGTTACTCAAGTGACAATGATTCATCTGGCAGCTCAGTTGTCTCATCAAGTAATGGTTCAAATGAATATGTTGATAGTTCAACAAATAAATGGTCAGGTTCTTGTTCCTTAGATAGTTTAGGCTCTTACTCAAGCTTAAATAGTGACAATGATTCATCTGGTAGCTCAATTGGCTCATCATATCAATCATTTTTTGATAACTTTGACAGTTCTTAAATAAAGGCTAACAAGGCTCTGCTTTCTAAGATGACAACTCCTGGGCTACATTCTACATCAAACTTATCCATATCAACAAATTCGAAATATTAAACTTAATAAATTATTAATAAATTAATTAAATTTATTAATAATCTTAATAAAAAAATTTTAAATAAACAATATTTTATTTTATAAAAAAAAAAATTATTTTATATAAAAAATTATTTATTTATTTGTATGTCTATTTTTATTTATTTTTTTTGTTTTTAGACACTATCAACTTCCTTTTTCAATAAATGATGAGGCAAACAATAGTATATTCTTGATTACTATTTCTTTTCTCTTTCTAGTTTAAAAATTCTGTTTCTAATTCTTTTAAATAAATTGAATTTTTAATTTAAACTATACAGTCCCAAGATATATAAATTCATTGATAACCATTTACATTTAATAAAAAAATATTTATCTCTTATTGTTATTATTAATATTGCACAAAAAATATAAAATTTTATATTAAAATTAATTTTTTTTTTGAATTATAGGTATCTCTTTATTAAATGTATTAATGATTCTGGTATTGGGAGTGTACAGGATGTAGGTAATGATATTTGAGTAACAGATTGGGGAATATTATCTGGGTCCAGAGGTTGAGAAAATCCATAACTAATGTCTAATTTAGTGAGGGATTCTGGTAATACACCTACTTGAAGAGGGTGGGAATAGTGATCGGGTAGTTTTAAATCTACAACTGAATTGGGTATAAGACCGACTTGAAGGGGGTGGGAATATTGATTGGGTAGCTCTAAATCTACTACTGAATTGGGTATAAGACCGACTTGAAGAGGTTGGAAATGGTTATCTGGGAAAATTAATTTTTTTACTGATGGTGGTATTGAATTAGTTTGAAATCGAATTGGATTTGAAATATAGCTAATATTCGATTCGAAATGAAGCGTTGTAATTGATGATGGTAAATCATTTTCCAATAATTCATTTGAATGGTTTGATATGACTAAATGTTGTAAAGTATTTGGGAATAAATGTTTACCAAGATTACAATTATATGATCTTAGCAATAAAGTTCCCACATTTGGTGGTATTACTTGTGGTTGTAATGGGTGGTTATATGAATCTAAATCGAGTTTAGTTATTGATGGTGGGAGTACATTTGGTTTTATAATTTGATTAAATTTATCCAAAAATAATGACTTTATTGAGGATGGAAATGTTTTGATCGATATCTCTAGATTAAATTTACGTAAATAGAGTTTTTTTAAAGAATGTAGTGTTGATAGAGAGTTGTATAATGGGTGATTAAAGTGGTTCATATGTAGTTTAGTGATTGATTTTGGAAGTGCACCGTCTGATAGTGGGTGGTTATATGGTCCTATAATGAGAGAAGTTATTGATGGTGGAAGAACATTTGGTTTTATAGCTTTATTAAAATTAAAGAAAAATAATGTTTTGATTGAGGGTGGAAATGTTTCGATTGATATCTTTTGATTATAATTTTGTAAATTGAGTATTTTTAATGAATGTAGTGTTGATAGATAGTTGTATAATGGGTGATTAAAGTGGTTCATACGCAGTTCAGTGATTGATTCTGGAAGTACTCCGTCTGATAGTGGGTGGTTAAAATGATTTAAATCTAAAACTTTTAATTCAGGGGGAAGAATATTTGGTTGGAGAGGTTTATTGTAAGAGTAAAGATTTAGATATTTACATGTTATAGGTAAGTCACCAGCTTTTAAGGGTTGATTAAAGGAGGATAGGTCTAAATGTACAATTGAACCAAATGAACCAGGTATAATTGCTCTATTGAATTCAAAATGATTAAATATTGTTAATGATTTTGGGAAAGTTCCAATATGTATATCTTGATCAAGTTGCATTGATAAACTGGTAAGTGATGGTGGTAATGTATTTCGTGTGATTGCTTGATAGCTATCGAGTTTTAATTTAGCTGTTCCATAGGGTATTACATGATCATGTGGTTCTAATGGTCCATCAACATCAATTATAATTTCTGTTGCATATCTTCTATGTGGATGATATCTAAGTTGATCCATTGATTTGTCAATACGTATTACTATATTTTCATTATATAACCTGTGATGTCTTTGTATTTCGTTTAATAGATACTTGTTTCTCCACACCGAAAAAAATAATATTTCATTTTTATTAATATTATCTATGTGATTAAAGTTATTGTTGTTATTATTACTATCTATTCTTTCATTATTATTCATTTTAATATTTATAGGTTGATCGAAAATTTTGCTTTAATTTTTTTTTAAATTAACAAGGGGGCGTTTAGGTGCATTTTTTTAAAAATATAAATTTTTTTTTTTTTATTTATAAATTTTTGTTAAAAATAAAAAAAACCAAAAAAAAAAAAAAATTTTGATTATCCATTTTCATTTATTGCTTTTTTATTGTCTTTTTGTTATATTTAAGAAAAGTCTAGTACAGGGTTAATATTGTGGGTAGTTTAGTTTTTGAGTACCAGATTGTGGAATAGTCGCTGGGTCTAGAGGTTGAGCAGGGTGATCAAAGTAGTTAGATTAGTGATTGATTCTGGAAGTACAACATCTGAATGTGGGTGGTTAAAGAATATTAAATATAATCTTTTTTAAGAGATAGAAGAATATTTGGTTGTAGCGGTTGATTCTGAAAGTATAATTGAATGTACTGATACTTACCTAGTATTTTGGCTTTTATAAATTCATTATTACAATCAAATGGTACACAGACTTCTATAATAGTAGCAAGGTGTTAAACATGATCATTTGACTCAATGTCTGGTTAGTTAGCATTGGATTGAGAGTTTTTGAAACATGAATTACGAATAATCTCACTATTGATAATCGTTTTGTTATCTTTTGATAGTGAATGATTAATGTGTGGATCTGATTTGTTTTTTATTATTTGGTATTTCATATCGCTTGATCAATGATTAATTAATAAAAAATTTAGGAGAATTTTATATTGTTTATAAATTATTAAAAAGAAAAAAATTCTTCTAAAATCATTAATTTTTTTTATTTATTTAAAAATAGTTATTTATATTTATTTTTTACTATATTTCATTTAAGTGGTTTTAATTGTACTCTTTAATTATTTTTTAAATTTGTTATTGAAACCATTGCTATTTTTTTTTATTTTTTTTTATTTTTTAATTTTTAAAATTTAATAAAAATTGGAGGTATCAATAAATACATAATTTAAAATTATTAAAAAAATGCCTCTTTTTTACCTGTATTAATTTATTTTTATAAATAGAATCACAAATAATCATTTCGAATATAATTTTGTATTTTACTCATTTATAGTTTAAAAAAATTTGTAAGTATAATTAAATAAAATGTTAACAATGGCACATTTTTTCTCAAAAGTTTTTTTTTAAATGGTGTTGTTGTTTTGTACCAATAGAGAATTTTCAAATCAAATAATATTTTTGATTAAAAGAATTAAACCCTATATAAAAAAAAGTAAAAATTAAATTAAAAATTTATTTGTACCAATAAAAAATTCAATTAAACAGAATATTTTTTTGAATTTTTATATTTTTTTTTTAATTTTATTTTTAAATTTTGTTGTTTTTTTCTTTTTTTTTTTCTTTTTCTTTTTCTTTTTTTTTCTTTTTTTTTCATTTATTATATTATATTTTTTATTTATTATATGTTATATTTTTATCAAATATTTTTTATTTTTCTTTTTTAATAATTAAAGTTTACATACACCACAAAATATTTTTCATTTATCTTATCACTATTTGTATTATTTGTTTTTTCTTTTTCTTTTTCTTTTTCTTTTTTTTATTTATTATATTATATTCGAAATGATAATAAAATAAAAATTATAAAAATAATAAAAATAATTAAAAAAAATAAAATATGATATAATAATATAATTAATCTCAACAATAAAATTAATATCTATAATAATAAATAATTAAATAATGGTTAATTAATATTTAAAATAATTTTTTGATTTTTAAAATTTTATATTTATTTTTTTATGTTGAAATTGATAGCTGGGAATATTGGGTTACTAACAATTGTGAAAAAATAATTTCCCCAACAGAGTTTTATTGTTTTCTGATTAATCACCCGCACCTTCTGTATCAACTTTGAGTTTCGTGAAAAAATAAAAATAACCATTGCAGAATGCAATTTTTGTTCATCATTTCGGAAATCCTATAGAAAATAAATTTATATATATAATGTTAATATATTTCCCTTTTATTTCTAGTATAAAATGGGTAAGCTTTAATGAAATAGTAGCTCAAAATTGAATGCATTTATTATCATTCAAAAAAAAAATTTTAAATTTTTAATTTTTTTTAAAATTTTGAAATTTTATTTCATTTTTTATTTTTTTATAAAAAATATTGTAAAATGTAACGATTAAAAAAATCTTGATATTTTTATAAAAAACTTCTTTGATTGTAATTTTTTTTTGTTGAAATATAAAAAAAAAAAAAAAAAAAATTTTTAAATTTCGTAAATAGAAAATCAATATGTTATTACTAATAATAATATTTCTTTTAAAATTATTTATTAATTTTTCACTTCAGTATTCAGAAACAGAAAGTAAATAATCTAATAGAAATAATAAAATATATATAATAATATTTATTCTTTATTTTTAGGTGAATGTTTTACCAAATTATTAACAAAGCTAGGTAACGGCCCTGCACCATTAGATTTTTGCCAAGATAGACCTTATTTTGAATGCGATGTAGATTTTAATATAATTACAATGAATTTTTCTACACGTGACCAGATAACAAATGAAGAAATACAGAATACCGATGTAAAATGTATAGGACCTAATCTTAAAACAATGATAACCTCCAAATGGAATATGGCTGATAACTTTTTTGATTTTGCAACAGAGTCTTTAGATCAAATGTAATTATAAAATAAATAAAAATAAATAAAATAACAATATTAATAATAATAAATAATAATAATAGAGAAATGAATTCACCACTATCAATAAGTTTCAAATACCCAATTAATTCAAAGAAATTCATGACAACTTTAGGAAAAAGAATTGAAGAACCTCTGTCTCTATCTCATTTTAAAATACCCTTAAAAGATACTTTTAACATTGTTCCGGATCCATTAATGTCAAACAATATAAATTATGGATTATATATAAATAATGATTTAGAAAACACTCAAAGCAATTTTTTTTATCCTAAAAAACTTTCTTTTGTATCAAGAAATATCCCCTCAATGGAAAATTTTAGATCCAATGGTGGATTAATTGTTTATTATTTAACAAGTGATTTCGATTATAACTCTCTCAAAAATTTATCAACCCATAATAATATAGGAGAGGTTATTTTAATAGGTTTACCAGGTGTATCTTATCCAATGGTTCCATTTTCAATGTTGCTAGGTTCAAAAGATCCATTTTATGAGAATTTGTTCCCTAGTATGTAAGTATATAAAACTAAATATTATAATTTTTAATAATGGCAACTAATTAATATTTCTTGCACCATTAAAGTTCTATTATCTATGATATTCCAACACCAAATGAATTTATTGAATTTACAGGAAACTCTTTATTTAAAAAAGTGTAAGTTTATTTTATATAAATAGGAAACTTATTTTATAAAAATTCTAATTTTATTTATGATAATTAATAGACAATTTTCCAAAACTCATAATTTCCTTGTTAATGGTGAATTTCCATTTTCAAAACTTCCAAATGGTCTTTTTAAATTGTATTTATAATTTTTATTGTGATTACTAATATAAAAGAATAAACGTTAATAATAACCAACTTTCAGTTCATATTATATAGGGCCATTAAAAAAAGTTCCAAACTATAAAATATTTGATAATACAGATATTTCTCAATTAAATTTTGGGTATAACCAAATTGTTAGTGATTTATCCAAATGGGATGGTTCAAAAAACAATGTAACAATGATAGATTTAAGCTCCAATTCAATAACTGGAACAATAGATGAATCCTATTGCTCTGTATTTTTAATTATAAAAAACAATTCAATGACAGGTAAAATTCCAGAATGTTTTACATGCCATTTTGGCAATACAGGTTTCAAATCAAATTTTGGTGATAATTTTTTTGAAAACTTCAACACAATAGGAGAATGCAGTAAGTAAATAAAACATTTTATTTAAATTAAAAAATAATAATTATTATTAATATTTATATATTTCATTTTATTAAAAATTTAAAATAGAAACTATTCCAAAATTAAAATATTTAAACCAAACTTTTTGGAAAAGAAACAAAATAGTAACAGAGCCAGTATTATTATTAATGGGTCAAAATATTGGATATTTTGAAAAAAATTTTGACTCGGATATTCAATTTGATTATGTGTCAAAAGCAAATTCAAAAATTATTTCATATGGTCCTTATACTCCAAATAGAACTATTCATGATATTACTATCAAGAGTACTGGTAAAAAATTTACATTAACTCCAGATCCATATCCACCATTATTATTAAATATAACATCAAGTAATCATATTTTATTATTCTATGGTTTATATTATTCATATGATGTCACTGAAATAATCATTGTAATTGGTGATAAATCTTGCAATGTAACCGATTCAACATTTTATCAGATTACATGTACTTTAGAAACATATCCAAATCAACTGAATAATGTATCAGGTTCAATCAAAGTAGATCAATTACAAACAACATTTAATTTAAATTTAGATAATAACAATGGAATCGAAGTTTTCAACAACTATACATCATGTCCAGACAACTGCGAATCATATAATGGTAATATATGCAACTATAATACTGGTATTTGTGAATGTCCTGCTGAAGACTGGACTGGTGAAAATTGTTTTACTGCAATACATTATGTATCATCAATTACACCTGCATACGAAGATGGAGGATTAGTTACAATGAATGGATGGTTCGGAGATATTCATCAAGATTTGAATATAACAATCGGTGATCAAGAATGTAAAATAGTTTTCATATCATCAAACACAATAACATGCAACATTGGAGTAGGAACAGGTAAAAAAGATGTAACCGTAAATCAAAATGGAATCACATGGAAATCACACAACTTTTTTGTATACCGATCAAAACAACAAACATGTTTAAACAACTGTATTGATACTAACCATGGTATTTGTAATACATCAAATGGTATTTGCGAATGTAAATCAGGATGGATTGGGTTCGATTGTAGTTCACCTTCAAATAACAATAACAATGGTAATACCAACAGTACAGTTAATCCAGATGGTTCAACAACAATTAATAACGATCAGATAGCATACAATATATTAATCACATCATTATTAGAACTCGATATCAACAGTGGTACAGTTAAACAATATCCACTTCAAAACAATTGGAATATTACATCTAACGATAAAAACGGATCAAATATAACTTTCACACAAATATTAAACGAAACTGAATGTAAAATCGTATTATCCATTCAAGAAATAGAAAATGATATTCATTATTCATTCGCAGGTTTAGATTTCAAATTAGATAAAGGTTCAATTAAAGTATCAGTATCAATTCACAATTACAAGTATCAAAGTCCACTCAATACATTACAATTACAAATGATCTCAAATGTATTAGATACAACATCTAACGATTGCAACAGTAAATCAGCATCAACATCAACATCAATATTGGATAATCAAACATTAAACTATATATCGATCAATAAAGACAACAAGATTCTATATGGCAGATTTATAAACAGAGCAATATCAGACGGACACACAACATTAATCACCACATCATTAATATCGAGTCAAAATGAATCAGTAACCATTGGTATTAACATTCCACATTGCAGAACATCATGCTATATCGATCCTGACTTTTCAGTAATGGTTAGTCCTGATTTCAAATCAAACTGTAACAACAAACCCAAAAAATATGTAATTCCAGTAGCTGTCGTTGTAAGCTGTGTTGGTGTAGCTGCTATTGTTTCGATCACATATTTAGTTTATAAAAGAAAACAAAAGAAAAGTTTTGAAAAGAAACTTGTTAATTTAAATAATTTAAATAACAAATAAAATAACTATTATAATAGTTTTTAAAACAAAAGAAATATCATCATTGAATAAAATAATAGGAAGATCTTAATTTTTCTAAATTTTATATTTATAAATTTAAAAATATTTATAAATTTAAAAATTTTATTTAATTTAATTTCTTATTAGCACATTCCTCGAAATTTTTATAAATATTTATACATAATTATTTATATATTTTAATAAAAAAAAAAAATAAAAAAAAAATTGTTTTTTAATTTTTTCAAAAAAAATTAAACAATTCATTTTTATATTTATTTTATTTTTTTTTTTAATATTTATTTTAAAATTCAATCTTTACTCAATCTTTCATCACTGATTATAGCTTAAAAAAATTTAGAAATTTTATTACTATTATATAGGTCCAATTTGAAATCATAATTTAATCACACAAACATATATTGCATTGTATTGTATATTATAATATTGCATTATAATACATTGTATTATATTGTGTTATTGAATTGTATTGTATTGTATTATATATTATATTGTATATTGTAAATAAAATTGTATTTTCGAAATATTTTCATAATGTTTGAACTTGACCCCATTCCCACATTTTTTATTTATTTACAAATAATAATTAAATAATTTTTATTTTATTTTTTTTTAATTTAAACAATAAAAAATACATTGTAAATAATAATTTTTATTTTATTTTAATTTTAATTTTTATTTTTGTTATAATTTTTTTAATTATAAAATGGATATACCAAAATTTATTGGTTATTATATAGATACAAATACTAACCATTATAATACATTTGGACAGATTAATGGCGAATGGAAAGATGGTGTTAGATATTATATAGATGTTAATAAAAAGGTTACTTTGGAGGAAAATTACTTGGCAGAGGCAAGGAGTAATAGTACTGGCGACGAACTATATGAACCAATTGGATCAAGAGTAGAAAAAAGGTTAATTAATATGGTAGTTTTTGGTAGTTTCTCAATTTCAAAAACAAATGCTACAACCGTACCAAACGAATATGGTATTTTATTATCGGGTGGTATTAAAATATCATTGGAACCAAAAGAAGGTGATGTTCAATCCAAAACATTTTACGAAAATTATAATGACATTAGAAATAAATTCAATCAAAATAATACAATTGTAGTGGGTTCTTTGTTTAGTGAAAATTCATATTTCGAACTACCAGGTTTAGATCCAGAATCATTAAGAGTTTTAAATGAAAATCCAACAGTGTTTATACAAAATTATTGTAAGGAAACCAATGATGATTATACAAGCTTTAAAAAATTCATTTCAAAAATAGGTTCTCTATTTAATATCTTATCATGGTCCATTGAGGGAAAGTTAATTTCAGCACCTGGTATAGTTTTAATAATTTCAAAGGCATATTATGATATTAATCAAGTAAGAGCAAATAATGGGAAGCCAAAATTAGAGTTCTTTTTAAATTTACCATGCGATCTTGATGGAATAAACCCAGTCTTTACAAACCAGTGGGAAAGAAATTTTATTCAAATGTTCATGGACACCTCTTATCAAAAACCCATGTTTCTAGGCTTCCTTACCCAAGCATTTAACCCAGTACTTTTTCAAAAAGCTTTTGATGAAAACAATGTTTTAGAATCAGTTGTCAATGCACCGTTTTCCGATGGTATCCACCAAAATTATACCGGTAAATCAAGTGATGTTGTTAAATCTTTGCTTGGTTCTAGTGATATGGATTTCATTAAATCTAGATCGTTTTTAATTCCATATATAAATCATTATGAACCCAGTAATGCTGCCCTAAAAAAAGAAATCTCAACAATGATAAATGAAGGCTTTATAAAAGAGTTATCAATGCTATTGGTTTTAAAAGGTTTAAATGGTATTATTCTCTTTCAAGATCGAGGAGATAATCAAGATAGCTTATGTATTTCTCACCAAAGAATAAATCCAGCAACAATTAAATATGATGAATCTATATCTTTAATAAACTCAATAGAAAATCAAGAAAAAACAAAATTGTTTTTAAATACATTAAATAATAATAATAAATAATTTAAAAAACATTAAATAATAAGAGTAATAATAACAGTATATTTAATTTTTAATGACAATTTTTAAATATGTAACCCTATCCATATGGATAGTTGTGTAGTTTTTTTTATAAAAAAATAAAAATAAGAATAATCGATTTTTTTTTATTTTTTTTGTTGTTATTAAAAATAGATATAAACATTATTCAAACAGTTTATACAATGGGGGAATTTAAATAATTTATATAGGAAATAGTGTGGTGGTAGATGTTTTTTTATATAAAAATAGAGTGAGAATGTGTGTGAAGGGTTAATTTTTTTTTAAATTTATAAAAATATATAAATATTTTCATGAGAGTTGACCTACACAGTTATTTCGTTTACACAATACTATCGTTATAGTATTTGATTTTTTGTTGTATGTTTTATATATAGCCATCTATTTTTATCCGCCAATCTATAAGTTTGGTATAACAGATTATGAAAATTCTATTAATGGAAATAAAAAAAATCATTTTTTTTGTAGATTGATTTTAACCCCCCAAATTCAAATAATTTAAAAAAAAACAAAAAAAAAATAAAAAAAATATATTATTATTATGAAAATATTAATTTAAATTTATTTAATTCATATTTTTCCTTTTATATTAATTCTCTTTTTTTATTTGTTATTTTTTTTTAATAAATTTTTTTTTTCTATATATGTTAATAACCAACTCATAGTTTAAAATTTTCCACTAAAATAGTAATTTTTTTTATTAAATTATTTTATTTATTTCTTATTATAAAAATATAGCTATATCTATAAAAAATATTTTGCTATCACTTTTTAAATAAAATAAAAAAATGATAAATGATATTTTATCAATCGAAAAGTCACCAAATGACTCCAATATTTACAAATATATAAAACTAGAGAATGAATTGGAACTGGTCTTGATCTCAAATCCAAACTCTAATCAATACTCTGCACTAACGTTATCAGTGGGTGTAGGTTCTTTTTTTGATCCATCCGATGTTTTAGGTTTATCACATTTAGTAGAAAGAAGTATATTACTGTCTAATGAAAAGAATCCAGATTCAAATGATGATTTTTCAACTTTTATTCAATTAAATGGAGGTTTTCTAAATTCAGTAACATATGGTACATATATAATTTATTTTTATTTTATTTTTTTTTTTTTAAAATTTTAATTTTAATTTTTAAATTTCAAATTTTTTTTTAAAATTTTTTTATTTTATAACTGTCACAGAGGATAGAACATCATTTTACTATAAAATCGATTCATTGTGTCTTGAAGAGTCTATAGAAAAGTTTTCAAATTATTTAATTGCACCAATCTTTAATAAAGATCTACTCGAAAGAGAAATTAATATAATCGAATCAGGTAATTATAATTTTATAACTATTTATGTAATTTGCAAATAGTAATAATTAAAAACATAGTTACTAATAATATTTTTTAAATAATTTTAATAATAGAATTCAATTCGATCTTTGATGAAAATAAAAAGAATTTGGTTTTATTGAAGGGTATCTTTGAAAATGATCACCCCTATGGTCAATTTAATAATGGAAATAATAAAACTCTAAGATTAGAAGATATTAGAAATAGATGTATGGAGTTTTTCGAAAAGCATTATTCTTCCAACGTCATGAAACTATGTGTATATGGCAAACAGTCAATTGAAAAACTTGAAGAAATGTGCAAGAAAAGTTTCGGCCTCATAAAGAATAAAAAGATTTATTCAACACCCTTACCCAAGTTTGTTTTAAAAAACCCAATTAAATTTGAAATCGCATCAAATATTCAAGATAAACACATTTTAAAAATCATATGGCCAATTAATGATGAATCATTATCCTTTAAAGGAAAAGTTAGAAGCAACTCAAATTCAATTATAAACCATTATTTGGGCCATGAAGCTAAAGGTTCTTTGTCTGCTGCTCTGGATAACCTAGGTTACAGTTACCGTTTATATTCTTTTGCGCAGAGCTATGCAATCAAGGATATCAACATTATGGGCCTAGAGATTCATTTAACAAAGTGTGGCTTTGACAATATTGACCATGTGATGTTTTTGGTAAATCAAACTATTAGAGAATTTAATGCCAACCAAATGGTTAAAACTGAATTAAGAACATTGGATATTGAATGGAAATACTTAAATAACGATTCGTCAATAGATCTAACAAGGGTAGTTTCAAATAATCTTTTCTATGTAGAAAGCCATGTCCAAGTTTTAAAATACCCAAAGTACATGTTTGAAAAAGAAAACCCAAGTGAAATTAACAAGATACTAAGCTTTATGGTCCCATCAAATATGATTGTAATGGTGTCATCAAATGAATTTAAAGGAAAAACAAATTCTGAAAATGATATCTACAAAATTCAATATAGCTCCCAAGTAATCGAAGATAGTTTAATAAAGAAATGGAAATTTGATTATCAAAGATCTGTCGATATTGTTTTACCCAAACCAAATCCATATCTACCAAATGATATTGAAATTAAAACAAAAACATCATCAAAGCCACATGAAATTTACAACTTTAATGGCATTAAGATTGACTGGGGTTCAGAATCCAGTTTAAACTCACCATATCTAAATATTATAGTCAAGTTTGATTGCCCAACCAAAGGAAACGAGCAATATAAAAATGATGTCTTGTTTTATATTTTAAAGAAATGCCTAAAGAAATGCCTTTATCAAGATATTCTTTACTATATGGTCCTTTTAAAATACTATATCAAGATGAAGGATTTAACTCTGTTTACATATGGGTTCAGCGATAAATTGTTAGTTGCCATTGAAGAAATTTTCAAATTCTTTTATTCGTTCGACATTAGCGAGATTAAATTTAAAAAGATTAAAGAGAAAATAGAAAAGAACTATGAATCCAAACTTTACAAAGATCCATCACTATCAAGTAAACAGGAAATTTTTTCTTATATTAAAATGAACTCTTCATTAATTCAAGATAGAATGGAATTCTTCAAGAATGTAACTAGGGACTCATTTATAAAAGAGATTAAAAGCTTCTTTAAAAAAGTCAACTATAAAATCTTTATGTTTGGTAATATCAAAAAAGAAGAGGCAACATTATTTGGTAAAAGATTAAACACCATTGTAAATAGAATATCAACTCCAATCAAAAACGAGATCAACAATGAAATCTATAGTTTACCACGGGGCCATGAGTTTCATATTAAGAAAAATAGCAAAGATTCAAATTTAAATAGTTTTTATACCGATATTTTATGGCAGATCGATGAAAAGATTTCAAAGAAAATAATCTCTATTACACACATTTTGGCACTGCTATTAAACAATCGTCTTTACCACGAATTAAGAACCATTCAACAGTTTGCCCACCACATTGAATGCGCACCCATTAAACTTAATAATAGACTTTACATTAGCCTTTTCATACAATCCAATGTAAAAACCCCAGATTTTATTATTGAATATGTAAAAAATTATCTTTCAAGTCAATTTACATATTATTTTTTAAATGGGTTTAATAATGACTACTTTAAATCAACACATAAGATATTAAACTTTTTAAATGGTAATCAAGAACAACAGCAGCAACAAAAACAGCAACAGCAACAACAAAATCAAACTGCATTTAACCCAAACTACCAAGTACAAAGTGGTGTACCCCAACAACAATCTCACCAAAAACAACCACCCCATTACAATAACAACACCTATTATCAACAACATGAACAATACAATGGTAGAATAAATCAAAATCAAAACCAAATCGCTTTGAACTATTGGGATAATTTTAATGTTTTTGGGTGTTATCAATATAATGAAAAGATATCAAAAACCATTAAAAAACTAAACTTTAATCAAATTAAAAAAGTTTATCTAAAATATATTTATCCACCCAGCAAAGATACTTGTTTATTTGTATATCAACAATACCCCAAATCAATTTTATTGGATAGCTTTTACAACCCAAACACTAGTATAAACAATAACAATAATGAAAAGATAAAATTAATAACAAATGATTATAATTCTTTTAAACTATCATTTATCCAATCAGCAAATAGTTAAAAAAAATAAATTAAATTAAAAAAAAAAAAAAAAAAAAAAAAAAGATTTATAATATATAATTTTTTGAGATAAATAAAATTATTTATTTTTAAAATGATAAGTGTATTTTATTTTATTTTTTATTTTTATATTTTATATTTTATTTTTAATTTTTATTTAAAAAAAAAAAATTTTATAGATCTATATCCCAAAATAAAATTTTAACACAGGCAATCAAACACAATGTATAATTTGTATTTAAAAATAAACAATAATAATATTGTCATTTAAAATAATACAAATTATAACCCTTAATTTTAACCCTATAATTTATACCTATAATAAAAAAAAATGATAAAAAAAATATTAAAATAATATTGAAGGATGTATTAAAAATAATGTACAAACCTTTTTTTTCTAAATACACTCTATACTACCATTTTTAATTTCATATATATTAAATAATTTAAAGAAAGTTAGTAATATTAATAATAGTTTCTATAATTTTTGATTATTATTTAATAATCATGATTTAAATAGGTAAATAGATTTATAAAAAAAATAAAATAAAAAGATATATAAATAAGGAATATGCTATATTTAAATATTGTGTGATAAGAGGGTTTGGATATTATTATTACTGTTATAATTAAGTGTTTATAAAAGTGTTATGGATGAAAAATAATATGTTATGATTTAATATTATTATTATTAATACAAAATGTTTTAAAACACTCTATTTTTTTTTTTCTATTTTTTTTTATTTTTTTTTATTTTTTTTATTTTCAAAATTATAATAAAATTTGATATAAATGGTTTTTTTCTTTATATATTAAAATTAAATTGGTATATAAAAATATATAGATGCAAAATAAATCGACACTTATCTTATCATCATAATATTGTTAAAATTATAAATGTGGATATAGTTTGAGGTGGGAATTAAATCTGTTATGAGTACAATGAGTTTTCTAATTTTTACTAATTATATACTTATATATACAAGTTTATAAGTATTGATCTGAAGGTTATTTGTGGAACACCAAAAAAGGGGTTTAAACTTTAAAATAAATATATTTTAAAAAAAACCAAACAAATTTTACAAATATCAAAATATTTCTTCAATTTTTAACAATCAATTTAAATTGATATTATTTTTATTTTATAAATTAAATTAAAAAATAATCATAAAAAAGAGATAGAACTATTTTTATTTTTTTTATTCTTATTTTATTATATTTTTATTATCCTCTTTTTTATTATTATAATTAAAAATTAAATAAAATTAAATAAAATAAAATAAAATAAATTATTTTTTGTATGTTTGTGTAATGCAAGATATTTTATAGTTATATTTGTTATTACTATAAATTCATATACACAAAAAAGTAAATTTATTTATTTTTATTTATTTTTATTTATTTTTTATTTCAAGTTATTTGTTGTTGTCTTTCTTTTTTTTTATAGTTAAAAAAAAAAATATTAATTTTTTGTATATAACTTTATTGTTGGTTGCTTTTTATCATTATCATTTTATATATAATTATTATTATTATTTTTATTATTATTTTTATTATTATTATTATTATTATTATTATTATTATTATTATTATTATTGTTATATTTACTTTCATTATTTTTTGCAATTGTTGGAATTAAAGATATATAAACAATACCATTATTGAAACGAACCCTTTAAAAAATCAAAAACTCAAAACAATCTTGATTTTTTATTATTTTCATTATAAAATCCCTTTTTATTGTTTTAAAAACATTATTTAAACTGAAAACAAAGAAAGGAAAAAAAACCACAATTTTCCAAATAAAAACACACAAATATTAATACTAATAAAAATAAATAATTACAATAAAAATAATTTTAACAAATAATATTAATTATTAAAAAACACACCACCTCACAAAAAAACAAAAACACACACATTCAAAAAAAACATAATAATTAACACTCACCAAGTCACTCACTCAGACACTTACCAAACACACACCATTAAAACACCCACACACAGTATTCATAATTTAAAAACAATATTAATAATTTAAATTATAATTATAAAACATTTATTTGTTGTAAAATATTTAAATAAAAATAAAAAAATAAAATAAAAAAAAAAAAAAAGGAAAAAAAAAAAAAAATAAAACCTTTTTTTTCAATTCAATAGTAATTATTTATTTATTTATTTATTTAAAAGTTGTATAAACCTAATATAAACTCACAAAAAGTAAAAAAACATAAAACTTTTTTTTTCAAATTATCAATTTTTTTCAAAGAAATGACAATCATAAGTAAATATCTTTTTTATATTTTTAAAAAAAAAATCAAAAAATCAAAAAACAACCATCCGATATTAATTTTATTTTAAATCTTTATAAATTTAAATTTTATTTTTATTATTAATAGATAATATTTCCGCTCTTAATGGTTCAAATTGTAATCCAAATTCAAAACCAATCATTGACAATAACTCTACTCAATCAAATATTCAAGATGTAAATAATAATAGTAATAAAAAATACGATGCTTGTACCCAACCTCAAAATCAATTATATGGTCAAGTAATTGTCCCAGATCGTAAAGATCTCCCATATGATTGTACAATATGTTAATATATATACATAATAATAATAATAATAATAATAATAATATAATATAAATAATAATTCAAAAACTCCATTTACAGTAATTAAAAATAATTGAAAAACACACAATACATGCCCTGCGCTCCCAAAAAAAAAAAAACAAAAAAAGGAAAAAAAAAAAAAAAAAAAAAAAAAATTCTATTTTAAAAAAAAAAAATCAACAATAGAAAATATAATTTAATTAAGATTAAATGATATATTTTTTATAAAAAAAATAATTTTAAAATATTATGGAATAAAATATATTTCCCTCATCATTATATTAAAAACTTTAATTTTTTTTTTCAAAAACCATTGGTATATTACTTTTATTTCAACAAAAAACAAGATATATGACACAACATATCAATAAAATTGAACACTTATAATTTAAATATCCCATCAAAAAATTATATGCAGATTTTTTTTTAGATATATATTTTATTTATTATTATAAAAACAAATCAAGATTAGTAAATAAACAAAAAATTGTAGTCTTTAAAATAAAAAATTTTAAAATCTATTTAACTAACACCCCCTTTCCTATTATTTAACTTTTTTTATAATTAGGGTGTGGTTTCAAACACACCTTATAAAATATTACTTTTTTTATTTTAAAAATATTTCCCTTATTAAAATTATAATAACACACACTCACATGAACCCCTCTCACTCTTATTTTTTATGTTAAAAAAAACTCAACAGCTCACGTTTCTTTTAACATATAAAGTTTTAAGTTTTATACCACCAACACCCACAAAAAACAACACTACCACCACTCCCTACAAAAACAACAAAAAAAACTATTTTATTTTTTACATCCATCCTTCTCGTTAAGGAATATCATTTTATTTTATTCTTTTTTCAATAGAATTTGTAGTTGAAGATTTTTTATATTAGAAACAATTTTAATGATAAATATTTAATTTAAATTCTATAAATTAATATTCACCCCTTAAATTATGTTTTTCTCTTGTAATACATTTGTTATTTGTTTTTTATATGAATTTACACAAAATGGAGGTTGTTGTAAATACAACTTACAAAAATCTTTTATTTTTATATTTTTTTTTTAAATTTTATTAAAAAATATAAAATTTATAAAAACTTTAAAAAAAAAATTATTAAACAAAAAATAAAAATGATTTATTAATAGAAGAATAATTATACAATAATTAAAATATAATGACAATTTTACGTATGTATTTTTATAACTAAATTTCACCCATCATCATAAAAATCTAACTGGTCATAAATTTTTTAGATTCTCTTTCTTTTAATGGAAATGGAATAAATAGCTCAAATATAAAAACTTCGAATCAAAACAATAATATAGATATAAATCCTCAATATACCAACACTCAGTCATCAAACTCTACCTGTTTGTTCTCATCGAACTTTTCTCAGACAATTTATATTGATAAGAAACCAAACCTACCACCTGATCCAGCACTTAAATGTAACATCCTTTGAAAATGTATCACTACCGTTACTATAAAACTACCACTACTACCACTACAATTAAATAAAAAACTTTAATATAATTCTATTAGTTTTAAACAAATAGAATAGAAAATAGAAAACAAATATTATTACTAAGAAATTTTAAAAGATTCTATATTTTTATTTTTATAATTTACAAAAGAAATTTCATTTTGGTCATATTTTAATGTTTTTCTATACTTGACTCTTCAACTTGATAAAATTCTTTTTTAACAGTGATTTCTGAAGCTATTAATAATGAATTGTCTTTAATAAAACCTGCCGATTCTAAAATGCTTGTTTTAATTGATCTACGATCACCCCAACCTTGGCCGTCTGATCCCAATGGGAAACCAATGTGTTTGTATTCACGTTGTAGGGATTGATTTTGATCTTTTTGGTTTGTGAACTTTAATGAGAAATCAAGTGAGAGGCTTTTACCCTTTTGAATGTCTGTTGTATCTAAAAACAAATAAATACTAATATAACCCTTGCTGTCATTACTATCACCATCTACAAAGAAACCAATAAAGAATGAAAATCCTTTTATTATAAACTTTTCTGATTGTACATATCCTGCTTTTTTACACTCTAAATAATTTTTAATTCTCCATTCTACCTTTATCTTTGAATCCAAAACTCTTTCTCTAAGTGTTTTTTCTAAAGATTTGATTTTATCCTCTTTTGAAGCCATTTGTAAGTTAAATTCTTTTTTTAATGATGAAATTTCGTTTTGATGTTGTTGCTTCATCATTACCATATGAATTGCAATTGACTCATTTAAATGATCGATTAAATCTTTTCTTTCAAACTATATAGATAGATTTTAAAGAAAAAGAAACCCATTAATATATTATTTAAAATCAATTTATATTATATTAATCAATTTATATTAATATTTTTACTTACCTCTTTATCACAGCCAAATGTACACTTGATGGTTTGGTTAGGACAGCTATCACTTAAATGTAATTTCAATTCTTTTTTAGCTACTTGTGATTTACATTTTTCGCACTCTACTTTTCTCATTTCACAATTTTCTTCATGCTCTTTAATCTTTAGGTCATAAAACTCTGTTTTACAATAACCACATAATACAGGTCTATATGGACAAACTTCATAATGCTTTTCCAAATCTTTAAATCTAATAATACTGCATGATTTTGGTGAGCTTGCTGATTTTATTGATGTTGAAATTATAATTTTATTTTTCTCATCTTGCTTTAGTTTTTTAATATTTACACTACTACCATTATTATCGTTACTATTACCATTATCGCTACCTGGACTATTGGTTAAAACTACTCTTGGGCTTTTATTATTTGGACTATTATTTACACTGTTTGTATCACTAATTGAAATACTTTTACTGCTACTATTTAAATTTGAAACTACTATACCACTAACACCAATATTATTTAAATAATTTATATTATATTTACACTTTTCAAATCGATATATACATGTTTTTTCGTGATTTGAAATATTTTCAAGTGAATCGGTATGATTACAACCCTCTAAGTCAAATGAAAAATCTGGCTCTGCTGCTCCTACTATTCCACTATTACCAACACTATTGCTACTGCTATTGTTACTACTACTATCGCTTGCTATTGTCGTTGTGCTGGTAGGTGATGCTAATTGTTTAAGTGGTGTTTTTTGACGTGGTTCAACTTTAAAACGATATCTACAATAAACCTTTAACTTTCCAATAGTTCTTTCAACAAATAATGATCTTGATAATATCTTCATATTTAAAAAACCTCTGCATACTGGACATTGGGGTGACTTTTTAATACTTTTTTCTATACAAGCTAAACAAAACATATGACCAAATGAGCATTGTGAAGGAGATTGTAAAAGCTGTAAACAAATTGCACACGTTAAATCTTTTAAACCTTCTTGATCTTCCACTAGCAACTCTAATGGAATTTGAAAAATATCATTATATTCATTTTCTATACTATTTAAAATTAAACTATTATTTAAATCCATTATTAATTAATTATTAATTGTTAATTATAAAAAATGTGTTTATTTTTTAATATATGTTTTTTTTTTTTTTTTTTTTTTTGAGGTGGTGGTTTTTTATTTCCTTTTTTTTTTTTAAAAAATTCCTAAAAATATATATCTGTTTTGTAATTAAAAATATTTGTAATAAAAAAAGATAAAAAAAATAAAAAATAAAAATAAAAAAAAAAAGATATAGACTTTATCTCTTTTTTATATAATGATATTTGTGTCCTATGATATAAAAAAACAAAAAAAATAAAAAAAATAAAAGAAAAAAAAAAAGAAAAAATTAAAATAAATTTTAAAAAAATTAAAAAAATAAAAAATTAAAATAAAATAAAATTAAAATAAAATCTAAAACTTTTATAGTCAGTTAATTTTTTTTTTCCTTTACTCTTAAATTCGTTGTATTTATTTATTGTTTGACATAGAAAAGCTTCATTATTTTAAAAAATTTATAAATGGAAGTGAAATATCCAATAAAAAAAAGAAAAAAAAAAATTTTAGTTTTAAAGTCAAAATATCTGGTTTTTGAAATAAAAATATAAATAATACAGTATTACTATATTTTGTAAAAAAAATTAACTTTTTATTTGACTAAATTTATTTATTAAGATTAGCCAATTTATTTTTTTTGAATTTATTGTTTTTTTTTTTAAATTTTTAATATTACCAATGAGTTAATATTTTTTAAATTTGAAAAATTATAAAAGTAAAGTTTGTGGGTCTCTAGGGAAGAGAGAAGTTTTACGAATATTGAAAATACCTAAATATAACATAACTACACGTTCTAAACCAACACCACCACCAGCATGTTGCGAACAACCAAATTTGAAAGAGTCAATATAAGATTGAATATCGGCAACATTGATACCATGATGTTTGGCATTTTCTTCGAGTAATTTAGCATCGTGAATACGTTGAGCACCTGAGCAAATTTCTTCACCTCTCATGAAGAGATCGTATGCATTGGCTAAACCTGGATTATTTGGATCTGGCATAGTATAGAATGGACGAACTTCAGTGTGGAATTTATCAACAATAAAGAAATCGACGCCAAATTTCTTTTTAATGATTTGACCTAATTTCTTTTCTTGACGAGTGCTGAAATCATTATTTTGAACAATGTAGGTTTCATCTTTTAATAATTCAGCTTCTTCAGCTAAGAACTTAGCGGCTTCATCAAAAGTGAAACGTGGTGATGGATAAGTGAATTTGAATGGTTCGAATGGATATTGACCGTTGATGGTTTCTAATTCTTTGTTGAAACGAGATTCGAGACCTTTGAAAATGAAACACATCATTTCATCGAGGGTATCTAAAACTTCATGATAGTGATCTTTGAAGGCCATTTCCATATCGAGACCAACAAATTCAGTTAAATGACGATGGGTATTTGAATTTTCAGCACGGAAAACTGGTGCAATTTCAAAGACACGGTCGAAATCTGAGGCAATTGCCATTTGTTTATAGAATTGTGGTGATTGAGCTAAATAAGCGTGGGTATTGAAATAACCAAGTTTGAAAACTGATGCACCAGATTCAGAGGCAGTTGAAATAATTTTTGGTGAGTGAATTTCAGTGAAATCTTTGGCTGAAAGGAATTCACGGAATAAAGCACAAACAGCTGATTGAATACGGAAGATTGAAAGATTGGCTGGTACTCTAAGATCTAAATATCTATTTTGTAAACGTTGTGATAAACCGACATTGACATAACGTGAGGCGGCACTCTTTTTGGCAGTGAGTTCTTCTTTTTCTTCGTTGGTAAGGCTGGTGTTTTCGAGTAATCTTGAGATTTCATTGATTTCAGAGTCTTGTTGATCAAGAAGAGCTTGGTTTCTTGAGAGATCTTCAAGTAAAATTGGGAGTTGTTGGGCTTCTGAAACAACAAATAATGAAGTGACGTGTAATTCAACATTCTTTTGGGTGGCTGATTCGATTGGTACTTGTGTTTTTGAAATGGTACCTTCGATATCGACAATTGATTCACGAGTAATATCACCTGCAAATTTAACCATTGATTTTGAACAAACACCACCTTTGGCAATAACAGCTTGAACTGTAAATAATTTTTCTCTTAATTGAAGGAAACATAAATTGGCACCTTGAAGACGACTGGTTGCAATACGAGCACGAATTAAAACTTTTTGACCAACTTTACTTTCATCTAATGAACCAATGCTGGTCCATTCTCTTTTAATTAAAACTTTTGAATTATTCATTTCATTTTTACCAAAATTATCATTATTTTCAACTACTTCTTCTTTCTTTTCTTGTTGATTACCACCTTTTTGTTGTTGTTCTGCTGCTCTTTTAGCTTTAGCTTCTGCAATCTTTTTTTCTTTTTCTAATTTTTTTTGTTCTTTTTTTAAAGCACTTTATAAAAAAAAGATATTTTTATTAGTAAATTATAAAATATTATTATAATTTATTTTGTTTTTATTTTTATAATTATTAACAATGAGTAAATATAATTTTTTTTTTTTTTTAATTTTTGGTTTTTTAATTAAAATTTTTTTAATTTAAAATTGAAAATATTAAACTATTTATAGTTTTAAAAGATATTAATATTGTTATAATAAATATGTTTTGATTATTACGCTTTGCTTTTTTCTTCCTCGACTGGGACTTCTGGGTTAGTTTCTGACATTTTAATTTATTATATATATAATACAAATATAAATATTTATAAATTGAAAATAATGAAAATGATGATTTTTTCGTAAAAAAAAAAAATTTAAAAAAAAAAATTTAAAAAAAAAATAAAAAAAAAATAAAAAATAAATTAAAAAATTTATAAAAAAAAAAAAATAATTAATTTTTATGGTACCACAACACTTTTTTAATATAATCGTAATAATGGGAAAAATAACATAAATAGAAACTTGACATAGATCCAAACCAAAAAAAGAGAAAAGTTAAAAAACTAGAATTATAAAAACTAAAACTAAAAAAAAACTAAAAAATTAAAAAAATAAAAATAAAAAAATAAAATTAGATTTTTTTTAAAAAAAAAAACAAAAAACAAATAATAAAATACTTATTTATTTTATTTTATTCTATTTCTATTTCTGTTTCTATTTTATTTTATTTTATTTGTGTTTCTATTTCACTTCTAATTATTGGTTATAGAAAATCTTTTAATATTTGAAATTAAAGTATTGCAACGTGGACATGTAAACGAGGAATCAATCATACAACTTGTTTTGATACAGTAATAACAGAATAAATGACCGCAGTCTGAAGTGTAGGGAATGGAAATGGGATCGTTCATGCAAATTGGGCATTTTGATAATACCATTTGTTGTTGTTGAATTAATAATTGTTGTTTTTGGAGTTGTTGTAATGATGAGGAGGATGAGGAGGCGGATGAAGAGGATGTGTTGGAACCAAACGAGTTTTTAATTAATACTCTGTAAAGGAAACTTTTGATACGATCAATGTTGATCAATGGCATAATGAATAGTATAAATTCTGTGAAACCGTGCCAAACCAATAAACGATTCATATATTCGAATGAAATGTTACGAGATAATGTTGGGTGTGCATAGACCAGTCTCATATGAAGTACACGGTTGACCAATGTTACGTATTTACCGTCATAGAGGAATGCTAAAAAGTTTAGTATTGATAATGCCTTGTAGGATGATTCGAGAAAGTTCATTAGGTTCCATAGACGTTTACGGAAATCGGTGGAGGGTCTTTCACTCCATCCTTCTTTAATTGAGTATCTATTGAGTCTAGTCCACAACCATTCACCTCCTATATTGATTAAACCTGATAACCATTTTTGTCGTAATGTAAGTTTAGTCAATTGATCACTACCACGATTTGGATCGAAGGCCTTCTCATTTCTAAAAGTTAAGTTTTGCAATTGATTGCCATATGTTGTACCTAAATTGAAAATTGACAATTTAAATATAATTGATTTTAAAATTGCATTTATCTCTGGTTGAAATCTTTGTATAAAATTTGGCTAAAAATTATTATTATTAGAACTATGATAACTATTATACATATACATATATATATATAGATAAATTTGGTATGCATACTTTAAAAAATGAAAATATTTTCATAAATTGTGATCTTAACAAATCTAAAATTTCTTCATCTAATCTTGCAGAGTCCAATTGACTAACTCTAACAATTGTAGTAGATGGTCTTTTAATACTTTGAATTTCTTTATTTATATTTAATAGTTTTTCCCTTTCGCTATTATATACTTTATTCCAATCTGAATGTTCATACGATACTGATGAGGAACTCTCCACTCTGCTAACATTACTATTTGATAATGCTATTTTTTCTTTATTATTTATATTATTATTATTATTACTACTACCATTGTTGTTATTGTTGTTTATATTACTATTTACATTATTTATATTATTATTTACAGTATTGGTTATTGTATTATTATTATTCGTATTTATATTATTATTTGTATTATTTGTATTATTATTATTTATAGTCACATTTTCGGTCATTTTCTTTTAAATAATAGTGGTTATCTATATAGATAACTAAACAGTTTATCAAATGATGTTTAAAACTACTAAATTGCTAAATGAACCTTTTTTCTTTTTGGTTTTTAAATTAAATTTTAAAAAAAAAATAAAAAAAAAAATAAAAAATAAAAAAAAAAAAAATATTTTTCATTTTTTTTTTTTTTTAAAATTTTTTAAAAATTTTTTTTTTTTTTTTTTTTTTTTCCAAAAATCATTTTTTTTTATTGTATAAATCACTATCAACAATAATAATCACACAATGCAAAATATCGACGAACAAGATAAAAATAAATATATCACAAATGCCACCAACCCATTTGTTAAATTATCAAAAACTGTTAGAGTTTGTTTAGGTGCTTGTGTAGGTTTATCAATCGCTGGTTTTGCAAATACCCTCAACAAAAGACCATTTATGACTAGACCACATCGTCATTTATTCTACATGATTGCTTGCAGTGCCTTTTTTTACAAAACTTATGATTTCAATGATTATATTGTAAAGAAAGAATTATATGTTTTATCACTTACACAAGATAGAATTAGAGAACAAGAACTTTTAAAGAAACGTAACTATCATTAATTATACAATCAATAAATTATTTATATACCAAATATAGATATTTAATTTAAACTATTTATATTTAATACTAATTTAAAATTAAATTTATTTTCATAATCTACAGAATATGAAGAACTCAGATCATCAAAAAACTAATTAATTTATAAATTTAAATAATAATAATAATAATAATAATAATAATAATAATAATAATAATAATAGCAACAATAGCAACAATAACAACAATAACAATGATAATATAACAATATAGTAATATATATAATAAGCATTACCAAAATAAAATATAAATAAAAAAAAAAATTTAAAAAATTTATGTAATAAAAAAAAAACTATTCTATAGCAATTACAAATATACCAAAAAAGTATTATTTTATTTCATAGGTTTAGGATTGGAGGATATTATATAGGCAGTGTATTACTGAACATCAATATGTCGATATCTTATTAAGATTGATCAGGAAATTTCACCCACCTTTTAGATCTTTTTTTTTTTTTTTTAAAATTAAAGTGTGGTGTTGTTTTATCTTTTAAAAATATTTATAATATTAAAATTCAAGTAATATAATATATCATTATTATTTAAATTGATGTTTAATTACGTAATCCATAGATACCAACTTTTTTTTTATTTTTTTTTATTTTTATTTATTTTTTTATTAAAAATTTTTTTTTTTTTTTTTTTTTTTTATATTTAAATAAGTTTTTTTTTTTTTATAAATTAAAAAAAACGTCATCTGCGTAATAATAATAACATAAATATAACAATAATAGAGATGGCATTAGGCAGTAAAATAAATCAAATTTTAGATGATCCATCTAAAAAAAGTATTACAACAACTACAACTACAAATTCAAATACAATCGTTAAAAAAGTACATTTATTAAACGAGGATCAAAAAGAGGAGGAAGAGGATTGCAATACTTGCGAATTATTGGGTGTATCCGATAAAAAGAATCAAATGTTTTCAATGATTTCATCCAATAGTTTTAGTAGTAATTCCAATACATCAAATAAAAATAAAAATATAGAAAAAGATACAAATGATGAAGCAGATTTTTGGTTACCTTTAGATCAACCACCAACATCTGTCGAGTTGGGTAATAGTGGATGGACACTACTTCATACAATGGCAGCTTATTACCCAGAGAAACCAAGCGAAACAAGAAAACAAGATACATTAGATTTTTTAACAAGTTTTTCAAAAGTTTATCCATGCAAAGTGTGCGCAAAAGATTTTAGAGAGATCATTAAAGAAACTCCACCAAAATTAGAGTCACAGAAAGATTTTGCACTTTGGTTATGCGATGCCCATAATTCAGTTAATACTCAATTGGGTAAACCAAAGTTTGATTGCGATCTCTTAAATGATCGTTGGAAAATAGGCTCAAAGTTCCATTAATAATGATAATAATAATAATAAATAATGTATATAAAATAAAGTTCTTTTTTTTTTTTTTTAAAGTTTAACAATATTTTAATAGTTTATTTTTTAAATTTTTTAAATACTTTTTAAATTGTGGACCACCGTTTAAGACTTTAATAATATTCGAAAATTCTATTGAGAGTCCCAAGATTTTATTCTCTTCATAGTGATTGGAATAGCATATGAATACTGTATCCAGTTGTAGAGGCAATGGGTTTTCAAAAGGAACGTAATGGTGGAGTATTAGATATCTTAGATTGGTTAATGGTAGTGAGAATGAGCTGATTGTGTTAATTGGTAGTTCCTCTATTTCTAAATTTATAATATCTAAAAAGAGTAGTGTGTTGGGTAATGTCTTTAACTGGGTAAATGGGAGTTTATATAAACATAGTATTTTTAATGAGGAGAATAATGAGAAATCTTCCAGACTATTTAATAGGTTTAATTCTAAATATTGTAAACAATGTTGAACCTTTGAAAAGTTATAGGGAGTGTCCATAGTTTCAAATTTTGAAAATATAATGGTTTTAATTTTATTATTACTGTTATTTATAAAGGTGGAGTTGTTATTTATAGATCCCATAGTAATGGTTTCTAAATTATTGGTTGAGTCTAAATCGATTGAAAAATTTTTGGTGTTGCTAAAATCAATTTCTTTTAAATTGGGTAAATGCTGGAATAATGTTTTTGTTTCTTGTAGATTTGAATCTAAAACTGTAAGTTTGGTTATACTCTGGGGAAGAGAGGCAATGTTTTCTATATTTACCGCGCCTTTAAATTTTAAGATGTTATTATTTTTTAATAGAGATCCTATTTGTATATCTCGATCTAGTTGGAGATTGGTTATTGATTTTGGTAATACTTCATCATTTATAATAAATTCATTACCATATTTTGAATATACTCTTATATTTGAATATTTTGCCTCCAACATGATTTTAAAAGTTTTAAGGTTCTGTGGTAATACTTCTCTTGTAAATGGTGTTTGGCATCTACCTGAAATTTGAAAATATTCTAAATCTCTGGGAAGGTCCTCAAAAAGATTTGTTAAATTGAAATAGTTGTCAACATTAAGGTTTAGTTTCTTTAGTGACAAAGGGAAATCCCCTTTATGAAAGGTGTCAATATATGTAAAGAGATTTAGAGAGATGCAATTGGGTGGAATAAAATTACTTGAGGTTGATTGAATAACTGGTAGATCTAGAAATAAATCGGTTACACTTGATGGGATGCTATACTCTTGTAAAGGTTGGATATTCATATATTTTTCAAATGTTAAATGCAAGAAAGTAAGGGTTGGTGGGAGCATTCCGGGATTAATACCCCATCTATATCCATGTATCTTTAATGACTTTAAAGTAGAAAAACTTGATTGTCCTTTAACCATACTATAAGATAGGTAAAAAGAGTCTTCTATGTAAAGTTTTTCTAAAGACGGTGGTAGGATATTCGGACTTATTGAAATAAATACATTGGTTGATACTATTAGCTCTTTTATTTTTGAGTTGTGAAATTTGGGCGGTATTTGGTAATATACTTGCATGAAACCCGATGGTTTTAATAACAATACACATTGAATATTATTTGGTAGCTTGGATGAGAGGTAATCAAAGACATCATCAATATTATCTTGGATAACACTAATTGAAATAGTTCGTATATATTCTTTGAATGGATGATTATCTATTACATTTTCAATATTTTTATTTCCATTTTTTGAAATTAAATTAATTTCTACAATTTGTTTATTAAAATTATTATAAGTTTTTAAAAAATTAAACAAAATTTTATTTAAATATAAATTTTTGAAAATTTTAAAAAAAATATAATCATTATTATTATTATTATTATTATTATTATTATTATTATTATTATTATTATTATTATTATTATTATTATTATTATTATTATTATTATTATTATTATTATCTATATAACCCTTGTTTTTATTCATTTGATTTTATATATTAAAGTTGTAAAAAAATAATAAAAAAAAAAAAGGTGGTTTATTAAAAAAAATTTTAAAAAAAAAAATAATAAAAAAAAATGGTATTGGGGTAGTTGATGAGATTTCTTATTTTTTTTTATTAATAATAATTTTAAAATCTATCATAAAAAAAAAAAAGAAATATTGAATGCATTCTATATTTAAATAATTTGAGATAAATTTTAAATTAAAAAAAAATAATTTTAATTTGAAATTAATTTTCAAAATAATTTAAATTAAAAAAATAGAATCTAATTAAAATTTAGTGAAATATTTGTATTGATCAAACACATAATGATTATAATTAAAAAAAAAATAAAAAAAATCTAAATTAAAAAAAAAATTAAACGAATTTTTTATAATTTTTTCATTTTTTTTAAATTTTTATATTTTCATTTTTGTTCATATTTTCATTTAAAAGAAATACTACAACTAAAATGGACCATTTAAAATTCGAAAATATAAGATCGAGTGATGAGTTCCTCAAAAAGAACTACTTTTCAGATATAGATACAAGTATGAGTAGATATAGATTGCAAGGATATTTAGCTGAAAAGATAAAAATTATGGAAGATCATGGAATTTTAGCAGAGGGTGCATACGAATTGGACGATGAAAATAAAATTATTAAAATTATTTCAAAAAAGAAAGGTTACAATTTCTCATTCACTGTAAATTCAGATTTATCCGAAGTCAATCAAGGCTCCATTTCTAATCCATTTGGCCAAGGTGGTAAAGTCGGTTTGGAATATGGCGTAGGTTTATATAAAAGTTCAGTTCATAATATATTTTATCAAGATAGATTCGGAAATAAAATAGCATTGGCAAAAACAGTAGACACACCAATCATTGGGTAAAATTCAGATAAAAACAACATAATTAGTAATTTTAATGGTATTTCATGATCACTAATTATTTATTTTATTTATATGTAGTGAAAAAAATTTTAAACTTGAAGAAAAATCATTAACATATACTTTCTCAGTTGGTCAACAGTTATTTTCAGTTTCCACAACCAATAGTTCAGCAACTGTTACAGATAAAAACACAAATAAAGAGTAAGTATTGGAACATGCGGATATTATTTTCATAATGGAATAGTCATTAATTTAAACACTCAATAGACATTTAGCACACACAGGTACTTCAATTAAGACCAGTATTAGCCATGTATTAAGATTATTTTCTAACCCATACTTTTATGGTAAACTCAATACTGAAATTGCACTTCCTACATTATCGACTTTTCCATTTATCAAACCACAATTTAATATTACAAAAATCATCCCATTCAATAAATTTGATTTGGTAATTATCACCACAACGACTACAATAGTAGCTGCTATTGTTTAAATACAGTTTATTAATTCAGTTTATATTAATTTATATCTCTAGGGTATCAGATTCGATGGTTCTTTTGGTGGAATTTTTAGTAAAAGTTCAAAAAATATGATTCCAATTAATGATAGATTTTTTAATGGTAAAGATTACAATTTCCCAGGTTTTGTAAATTCAAGTATTAGTGGTCAACTTAAAACTCCATTTTTAGGTAACTCCATGTACTATACATTAAGAGGAACATTGTTTAAAAAGATTAATGACCAAGTTAACGGTATTGCATATTACAATTTTGGTGGCTCAACATTAAATTTGGGAAATGGTTACGAAAATACAACATTAAAAGATTTAAAGTCATTGCGTAGTTCAGTTGGTTTTGGTTTGTGTGTCAATATGGGTAAAGCAGAACTTAATATTTCTCTTGTCAAACCAATTCGTTTCCAAAGTGATGATCACATCGAAAACTTTTCATTCGAAATGAATTTTAGTATATAGGGAAATAAATAAACATGATATTTAAACCACATCACACCACACAAAAACCATACCCACATTTCTTTTTAAACATTATAATTTTTTCTTCCCCCACACCACACACAAAATTTTTATTTTTTTTTTTTAAAAAATATTTCAAAAAAAATTTTTTTTTTTTTTTTTTTCATTTTCATCATTTTTTTTTTATTTTTATTTTTTTTTTTTTTAATTATTATTTTTTTTTTGCATATTATAAAAACAAAAATATAAATTATATTTATTTATTAAATCTTTATATAAAATATATATATATGAAATGCTTTGTCCAAAGTATAGAGTAAATAATATACTTTGTTCAAAAGTAAATTTTAATGGTTTATGTAAAAGTTTAGCCTATACTTCTCCATTACATTTTTCAAATAGAAACTATTATAACACAGACAATAAAAATAATGATAATAATGAAAATGATAACAACGATAGTAACAATAGTATTTGCAACAACAGTAATAACAAGAAAAAAAACAATATAAATAATAATCATTTTAAAAAACATCATCAGAATAATTATTTTAGTAGTACAAATAAATATGGCAGTGATTATTTTAATTATAGTAACAAAGTTAAATTAAATAAAGAGTCAGAGGTTTTACCAGGTTTAAAGTTATCAGATATAGATTTAACATCAAGCAATGTTATGGATGTAAGCAGTGGGTTCCTTTTCAAGTTTAGATATTATCTTCCCATTACATCACCAAAAATAGTGTTAAATAGCAAATATAAGAAATATGCAGTTCTTATCAAAGATAACCACAGTTTTGACGATATTTTAGCAATAGCACAAAAAGACAATATTGAAATTTCAAATGATTTTTATAATACAATGTTTTATATTTATATTTTAAAATTGGAAGAAATTCAAAATTTACAATTAAATATAGATGATAATATTGATAACACTACAAATACAAATAGTAATAATAAAGAATTAATTAATAAAATAATAATAGCATTAAAAAGAATTTATTTATCAAATTATAGACCAAATCAATTATCAATACTTTTAAATATTTTATCATTTGCAAAGAGAAAGGATGATCAAGCAGATTCGGATTTGGTAGAATTTTGTGAAGATATTTGTGTAAAAGTAGATCTTATCCGTAATTTATTCACATTGGAATCATTACAAATTCTTTTACAAACTCTTTACAATCGTCAAAAGTTTAGAACAGTTTGCACAGTCTATCAAAGTTTCAAAAACTATTTTCCATTACTTAATGAAAACGAAGTTTGGCACTCTGGCATCATTATACAGAGTATGGAATTGACAAAGAGACCCATAGAAGAGATTGAACAATTATTTGAAGATTCAGGATTACAATTAACTCAATATACTCAAGTTCATTTCAACACATTGGCTCTCAGTTATCTTCGTTCAACTAAAATTGCAGAGTTTTTTTCAGTACTCCAAACTCTCTATTTGGCCCATCTCCCAATCAACGAAACCCTACCAAACAGGGGATTACAATTTTTAATAGACAATGAATTACACGATTTTGCGGTAAAGGTTTATCCACTACTCAGAAATATTTTTATTATCGAAAGAAGTGAACTCAGCACTTCCCAAAGAGAAAGACTCAAAGAGTTGGTATCATTAAGCGAAAATGGCAAATTACTCTTGATAAATCCATCCTATAATAACCCAAATTCCCCACAATATATATTTTCAGAAAAATACATTTCAACAATCGATTTTGAAAGTGATGATACAAATTTTTCTTTTTTAGGTGTACAAATTCCGGTTAAAACAAAACCTCTCGATCATTTCAAAGAAATTTTAGAAACAAAAAATATTAAAGCCACCGATACTTTAGTTTTGGAGCTTTCAAAAAAACTTGAAAGTGCTAAAAACGATAAAGAAGATCATTAATAAATAAATAATAAATTTTTATTTTTTTTTTATTTAAAATCATTTTTATTTTTTATTTGGGAATATCTAAATATGGTTAAAATCATATACATAATCAAATATTAAAAAAAAAAAAAACATAACATAACCATAAAAAAAAAGGTAAAAACTCTTTTTTGATTTTTAATTTATTAATAAAGAGATTATTAATTTTAATTTAAATTATGTTGTTCAATAAAATCTTAAATAGGTTCCCAATAATCCCATTTTATTATAAAATTTCAAATCCGAATTTATTACCAAGACCAGGATTATAATATCAAAATAAAATTTTAAAAAAAAAATTTTAAAAATTAAAAAAAAAATAAAAAAAAAAATAGTTTTTGCATAGAAAAAAAAAATCTTTTTTTTTATTCACACACATTTCTATTATAATAAAGATAAAAAGAAATGAGGTTAATATTATTTCTTTTAGTAATATTATTTATTAATAATGTATTATCAGTAACACCCTCATCAAAAGTAGAAGAGGACCCAAGATATAGAATTGAAAGTGCACCAGAATGGTATTCAATCTCTAGCGATTATAAAGTTACACCAGGTAAAAATACAAACTCTCTTGGTTGGGGTTACTATAAAGATGAGGTTTCAAAAGACGGTTGGGGTAAACTATACATTGAAATGAATTCAAATAGCAATACAACACAATCATACTATGGTGCAGGTTATTTAGAAGGTTATTTAACTTGGGGTATCACATGGAACTTTTCACAAAATTACTTTAACACCTACTTTAATTCAACTGATCCATCATTAATTCCAAAACCTTTAATCGAATTTTCAAAAGCCAATTACCAATATATGAAGAGCGAGTTCAATCAACAAAACTCTTTATTTAACCAACAAGTTAATAATGTTATTGAACAATTTGAAGGTTTAACACAAGGTTATCAAGATGCTGCTGATTCTGATAAGCAATTAACAACCATTCAATTACTTTTATTAAATTATATTGGTGATTTAGAAGATGTTGCAGGTTATTTAGAATATGAAATGGCTCAAAATAAAACTGAATATGTTTCAAAAGTTAAATCCCAAAAAGAAATTGAAAATATTTTAGCAACCAAAGGTAGATGCAGTGCATTAATTAAAGTAACTTCAGATTTTAGTGACTTATTTTCAGGTAATTATTTTATTATTTATTTTAATTAATATAAAAATTTTTATTAATATTTAATTTTTTTATTTAGCTCATGTTACTTGGGGAAGCTATTTCACAATGTTACGTATTTTCAAACGTGTTATTATTCCAGATAGTTCAAATCAAGCAACAGAACAACTTTTTAGCTCTTATCCAGGTGTATTAACTTCAGATGATGATTTCTTTATTTTAAAACCATCAGATTTAGTTGTTATTGAAACTACAAATGATATTTTAAATAACACTTTATATCAATATGTTACACCAAATTCATTATTATATTGGGTTCGTTCAATAGTTGCCAATCGTATTTCATCCAATAGCCAAGAATGGACCGAAAACTTTGTACAATTTAACTCTGGTACTTATAACAATCAAGTAAATATTAATTATTATTTAAATTATAAATTTAAAATAACATTGGTTTATTAATATTATATTTTATTATTTTAGTGGATGATTGTAGATTATAAGTTATTTACACCTTATCAACCACTCCAACCAAATACTCTTTGGATTGTTGAACAATTACCAGGTGGTTATTATTCAGAAGATGTTACCGATATATTAGCACTTGGATACTGGCCATCATACAACAGACCATACTTCCCAAAAGTACAAGAAGCAATGGGTTATACTTATTATTCAAATTTATATGGTGATATTCTTTCATATTCATTAAATCCACGTGCAAAGATTTTCCGTAGAGATCAAAACAATGTTTATTCAGTTGACGATATGCAATCTATTATGAGATATAATGAATATAAAATCGATCCATTTAGTGAAGGTTATCCAGGTAATGCAATTTCATCTCGTTATGATCTCGGTGGTGGTCCATCACAACCAGCTGGTTGGTTCTATCAAGGTCCACACGGTGGTATTGATGCTAAAATCACTTCATCATCAATGGTTCAAAATACTACATGTACTGCAATCTCTGGCCCAACTGTTACTTCAAGTTGCCCAGTATTCAATTGGACTGGTTTTGAATCAGTTTTCCATGTTGGTTTACCAAATGTATTTAATTTCGATTGGGTAACAATGGATATCAAAAGTAATTAATAAATAAAAATTATTTAAATAAATAATAACGAGAAATGATAAAAAAATTATAAATAAATTATTTATAATAAAAAGAATATAATTATATAAAACATATTTTTAAAATTATTACCTTTTTTTAAATTAATTAAAACTTTAAGTTTAAATTAATTAAAATTATATTTATTTATTTATTTTAATTAATTTATTATTAATAAATTTATAATTATTTTTACCAATTTTAATTTCTTGTATTGTTTGAGGAAGTGATGATGAAATGTATTGAGATAATGAATCTTGATATTCAAATGCACTAAAACGTTTATCGGAAACTTCAATTTTGGTAATTGATGATGGAATTTCATGTGGTAGTAAAGGTTGATTAAAATCTTCACCAAGAACAAGTTCATTTACCGAGGGGGGAATTATATATTGAATAGATGATAAAGGCTGATCAAAATAACGGCCTAGTACGAGCCTACGTACTGAGCATGGAACAATACCTGTAATTGTTTGATTTAAATTAAATGTTAAAGAGGTAACTGATGATGGTATTGATCCTCTAAGTAATGGTTGGTTGAATCTAAATATAAAGGAGTGTGTTAATAAATAAATTGCTATTGCTTAATACATATATAACTTTATAATTACCTATAGTTTAAAGAAAGATCAGTAACACTAGAAGGTATAGCACCGGTAATTAGAGATTGGTCAAATTCAAAACCAAAACTGAGCTCTGTGACACTATGAGGGATGACACCCATTGGAGTAATTAACTGATTAAATTTATAACCAAAATGTAAAACTTGACAACTGTCAGGTATTGAGCCAGGTGATAGAGGTTGGTCAAATAGATTACCAAAACTTAATCGGGTGACACTTGATGGTATAGCACCAGGAGGTATAGGTTGGTTTAAATTTAATGTCAATATCTTTACAGATGATGGTATTATTGATTCTGTTTCCTCGACCACATCATCAGAATTTAGTGGATTAAAGAAATAAAAGAATGTTTGAGCAAGTCTTGAAAGAAATGATTTTGGTTTGGTTAGAGGCATTGATTCTAATGAAACACCTTTACCTAATACTAGATCTGTAACACTATCAGGTATTGAGCCAAAAGTTAAATTTGATAGCTGAGCACATTTTAAAGAGGTGACTGAACGTGGTATAATATTGGGAGATAATGGTGGTGCTTGGGTGAATAATTCACCCAAGGTTAGGTCAGTGACACTCCAAGGGATGGAACCATAAACTAAAGGTTGATTTAATCTTTCCAACTCTAGTATTTTAACTGAATTGGGAATTATATTGGGTGTAATGGAACCATTAAAACGACCAGCCAATCTTAATTTGATAACAGATGATGGAATAACATTTTCTGCCAAAGGTTGATAATATACACCAAATGAAAGATCTGTAACACTTGAGGGTATTGAAAAAGTTTTGAGTGGCTTTGAATAATTTCCTCCAAATACATCAAACGATATATTTAATATTTTGCAACTTGATGGAATGATACCAGGATCTAAAATTTGATCGAAATAACTACCAAATGATAATGAAATAACACTACTTGGGATTATATCGTTTGAAGCTATACGCTGATTAAAAAAACTACCAAATCTAAGATCAGTTACACTACTGGGCAACACTCCTAATGACAATGGCTGATTAAATAAATCACCAAAATTAACTTTAACCACATTCTCTGGTATTGTTTTTGGTAATATTGGTTTATTATAATTAAAAAACACAATCGAGGTTACATTGTCAGGTATATCGCCTGGTTTCAATTCTTCATTTCCATAATACTCTAAAATAGAAATAAAGTCTCTATAACTATATTCCTTTAATTCATTTGGTGACCATGATAATTTTCTATGATGAATTTTAAACAATCTAACAATAAAAAAGCAATTTTAATATATTTATAAAAAAGTATACTAGATTTTTATAAGTTTAAATTTTACCTTAGATATTTTATTATTTCTGTTCTAATTATTAGATTTCTCCAAACAAGAAAAAATAATTTATTTATTTTATTAATATAATCATTGCTATTATTATTGATTTCTATATTATTATTATTACTACTATTAACTAAAGTATTGTTTTCATTTCCATTATTATTATTTATTTTATAGTTATTATCGTTATTTAAATTTAAATTTAAAATATCTATTACCAATATATTATCATAGTTGCTGTTGTTATTATTATTTCTGTTGTTGTTATTATAATAGTTGTTATAGTTATAATTATTATAGTTATTATAGTTATTATTAAAGCTATTAAAATTATTAAAATTATAATTATTAATTAAAATATCGTCTTCTTGTATTAGATTCATTTAAATAGCATTTATGGGTTGTGATTCGATTATTTTACAATTTAAAATATATATATTTATTAATCTATTGGTACAATGTTTGAAAAGTTTATATGAATACAATTATCACTATTATTTCTTATGTTTGTTGTGATCAAATATCATATTTTGGCATGGGAAAAAGAAATGTTTATAACAAAAAAAAAAAATTTAAAAATAAAAAAAAAATAAAAAAAAAAATTAAATAAAATCAAAAAAAAAAATATTATTTTTTTGTAATTTTTTTTTTTTTTTTTTTAATGGGAATGCACATGTCGTTATTTCCATCATCAATTGATGGTTTATGTTGTTATAATTATTTTTTATGTATAGGTTATATGGATTTGAAAAATAAATTTTATTTTATTTTTTTTATTTTTTTTTTTTTATTTTATTTTATTTTTTTTATTTTTATTTTTTTTTATTTATTTTACAAATCTAATAGTTACACAATTATGATTGAAATATAATGACTCACTTCTCTGTCATTTGTTAAACTATTGGAATTGGACGTGGTTTTTTTTTTTATTATTTATTTTTTGTGGTGTTAAATTTTTATAAATTATTCTATTGAAAATAAAATTGGGCATAAAGTTTAAAAATATTTTTTGGTGAGTTATAATCATTTGGTTCTATGAACTTCGTTAATAACCATATTTCCAAATTTATAAATAAGATCTTTTTTTTCTTTTCTTCTTTTTTTTCTTTTGTATTGATTTAATTTATTGCTGAAGCCCATGAATCAATAAATATGCGATAAACATTTCCATTTAACTAATACCTGAAATACCGCTATATGTTAATTATCTGAGTTCATATTTTTTAAATTTTCATTTTCATTTTCTAAAATATTTAAATCATTTAATAATTACCAGATAACACAAAAAATCTTCATTTAAATTAAAATTTTTTTAATTATTATAAAAATAAGATATTTTATTTTTCCTTTATATTTTTTTTTTTTTTTTTAATTGAAAAGTTTTTTATAATTTTTTTTTTTTAATTTTAACATTAAACATTTATTTTTATTTTTTTGCTATTTAAAATGAAGGTTTTAAATTGTTTAGTTTTCTTATTATTATCAGTTTATTGTGTCGCTTCAATTAAAATCGGATCAAATACTGGTACTAGTCATCAAACCAAATCATGCTTTGACTCGATCGATGGTTTTTCAACTGGATTCGAAGCAGTATCATACAATACATACTATCCAGGCCAATCAGGAAAATTTGAACCATTATCATATTCAGAAAATGGGTATCAAACTGTAGATTTTAATGCTCAATCAATGTTCATAGATTTCGAAATCAATATTGAAGGAGGTCAGCAAATCGGAAAACTTTGGGGTTTCTCCCAAAATAAAACCCAATATGTTGTTACCACCATCAACAATAATGACTATTGTATTGAACAACCATTACAATTTGCTATTCCATCATCCATCCCGGATAGCTCCAAAGTTGGTACTGTAGTTTTAGGTAATACCGTCTGTGATGTATATCATATCGTTGATTCAATCACTGGTAACTACACTTCACAATATGCTATTGTAGACCAAGCCACCTGTGCTCTTATGAGCTCCACTGTTAAAAATCAACCAAACACTACCATAGGCTCTGCAGTTATAAACTTTTTCGATTACCAACCAAATGTAGATACCCAATCACTTCAATTACCATCAATTTGTATCACTAATCCAATTATCCCAACAAATTCCCCAACATCCGTACCAAAATATTTAGGTCATTTTAATTTATTTAAAAATTAAAATTTATAAATCTATTTTTAAATCATACAGATATAAAAGATTTTATTTAATTCCTTAAAATATCTCAAATAATACTTTTTTGGGAAATTAACAGAAAAAAATAATTTAATTATTTTTTTTTTTTTTTTTTTAATTTTTTTTTAATTTTTTTTTAATTTTTTTTTTTTTTTTATTTATATTTTTTATAAAGTAACATAATAATAATAATATGAAAAATAATAACTTGGTTGTTGATACATACAATTGCGAAAATAATAATAGTGATGAAAGTGATCATAACAGCAGCGATGATGAAGATTACTTTATCCAATTTATAAATAAAAATAATGAAATAAATAAATTAAATAAATTAGAAAGTAGTTATAGTGACACCGATAGTGACAGTGATTCACCAGCACTACCATCATCACCAACACCAACACCAAAACCAACACCAAAACCAATACCAACACACTCAAAAAATAAAAAATCAAAACAAACTCAAAAGAATAAAACACAAAATAAAAATTTAAATAGTAATGACGAACTTTTAAAGAAACTACAAACTATAAATATAAATATATCAAATAATAATAAAAAAATACATTTAAACACTACACCTGTTATTCTTAATAAACAATCTAATAATAAAAATAAAGTATTTATGAATGATTTTTGCACTTCTAATAATACAACAAATTTAACCAAAAATAATAATAGTAATAATAGTATTAATAGTATTAATAGTATTAATAGTAATATTAATAATAGCATTAATAGTAATAATAATACAGATAATAATAAAGATAGTTTAGATATTACATTTAGTTATGTACCCGAGTTAATGTTTTTCAAAGTCTGGAGAAATTTAGTAACCAAATCATGTATTTTCAAATATATTAGATTATATAACATTCATAAAAGTAGTAGAAATTATTTTTTCAAGTTATGGAGTAAAGAAATGTTTATTGATGACGAAATTATTATTGAAGATTACAATAGTTTACAAGACGACAATGAAGAGGATGTAATAGATGATTATAAAATGTATTATAGCAAGCATCATAATAAATATGGACAAATAAACACAAATGAAACAGAATTTACAAAATTAACAAATTCTTTATCAACATCCCAACAAAATTTTGATCCATTTTTCGATAAAAACCAAAAGAAGAAAGAAAAGATAAAGGAAATAGAATTGGAAAGAGAAAGGCAAATTATCGAGAGAGTATTAAAGTTAGAATCTGTAGTCAATTCATACAAATATACATCATTTTTGAAATCGGTGCATATAGATATACTACAAAAAGAAGAATCTCTAAAACCATTACTGGATACTTTACCATCCCATGTCGATACTCTAGTTTTAGATAACTTTTATAAGAAATCTTTCATCTTTGAAGAGAATGTAATCCCAGAGAGCATAACTCATTTGGAAGTTGGTATATTAGGTCGATCAAGAGTTCAGTTCAAAGAGAATTCATTACCGATCAGCATCAAGTTTTTAAAGTTTACGAAACATTCGCCGATAGTTTTCGATACTAGAATTTTAAAAAGATGTGTAAATCTCGAAACTCTTACATTTGTATTTGGTTTTAATAGAAGAGTGTGGCCCAATTCATTACCTTCCTCTTTGAAGTCTCTTAATCTAGGTTTGGACTTTAACGACACTTTAACATGGTTACCAGAGAATTTAACAATATTGACATTAGGCAGGGACTTTAGAAAACCAATTGGCAGAGATATATTACCAAGCAAATTAAAGAAACTTCATCTTAGTGATAGATTCCTTTTCGGTACGCTAGAAAAAGGATATCTACCAGATAGTATTACAGACCTCAAGATAACTTTTGGTAATATTAGAAATATAGATTATCTACCAAAAGGATTGGTAAAGCTAAAATTGTGTGGTCTTTCAAATTGCCAGTTTGACCTTAGGCTCCCAGAGACCCTTACCAGTTTATCACTAATACCAAAGCTATCAGAAACATCATTGTTCTATTTACCAACATCACTAAAGTCGCTTACTATTGGCAAAGATTTCTATAACGAGTTACTACAGTTTAACAACGGGGATAATATACTCGCTAGGATAGAAAAATTAAAACTAAGGGGCGGCAGTGCTGACTTTGATGTGAATACTGTACCATCCAATATCAAGTCTCTAGGTTTTACAAAGATAGATAAAATTACACTTACTTCCAAAGATAGCTTTTCACCACTAGTCCATTTAGAAACACTAAAACTCAATAACAAATACGACAAGATAATATATCTACCACCCAGTTTAACAAATCTTCAACTTGGATTTTCATTTAATTCATTAATACCCAACCTTTCCGAAACACCATTAAAATATTTAAAATTGGGTCGAGAGTTTAATTTAGACCCCTTAAGATTATTCAAGTTACCACCAACATTAACTATTTTAGAAATTGGAGAGCAGTTTGGACATGTTATAGATAGTCATTGGTTACCAGCTAACTTAGAAATCTTAATTGTAAATTCAGTTACACCAAATATTCAACTACCACTTCCTCCAAAACTACATTCACTCTACATCTCCTCATTAAACTCAACAATTTTACTTAATAATGAAAAACTTAATCAATTCCTACATATCATTAAACCAATTGATGAATTAAAACTTTTAACTATTTTTAAAAAACTATTAAAAAATAAATAAAAATTTATATTTTTTAAAAATAAAAATAAAGTATATAAGGGTTTTTGGTAATTTTAAATATTTATTTATGTTTTATTTTTGTTTTATTATTACAGTCTATAACTCTAATAATGTCGTATATTTGATAAAATAAATCATAGTTTTTTAATATACTGATGTTATCGTTTTGAATATATATCGTTTCTAAAGTTGGCGGTAGTGGCAGTTCAACTATTGGATTACCTATTATATTTATGACTTTGATGTTACTTGGTAAGAAGCTGTCGTTAATTCTAAATTGGTTATGGTTATTATCGCTATTATTATTATAGCTATTGTAACTATAGTTTATATTTAGTATTGTAATTGATGATGGTAGTGATATTATATTATTATTATTTATACATATATTTAAATATTTTAAATTATTAAATTGAATTAAATTATTAAAATTATTAAATGATTCACCCAGCTCCAAACTTTCTATGTGATTTATGTAAGGTGGTAGTTGTTGATTAAATAAACCTTTTATTTTAAGTTCTTTTAGTGTTGATGGAAGTACATTGTCGGCTATTGGTTGGTTATAGACTAACCCAAAGTTGATAGATTTTAAATTTGTAAAGCGAGAAAAAGTATCAGTTGGTATTTCTTCATCGAAACAATCACCAAATTTAATTTTTTGAATGAATGGCGGTAGAAATTGGATATGATGTAAACTGCAACCCGATACTTTTTCTAAATGATCACAACCCAAAAATACATCCTTATTCTGAATTGATATATTATCCGATAATGTAAGGTGTTTTAAAGATAAAGGCAGTATATTCTCTTCTAATGATCTGATTCTACACGATAGATTTAATGTTGTAATTGAATCTGGTAATTTGAAATTATGGCCGCTGCTACTATTACTATCTAAATTACTATTACTAACACTACTATTAAAATCTTGTTTAAACTTTTGGCTAAGATACAACTGTTTCAATTGAACTGGTAAAATCTGATTCGAAATTAATTGATCAAAGTCACCACGAAATACTAATACTTGGAGATTTTCTGGAAGAGTATCTGATACTATCGGCTTATTAAATTTACAAAACTGTCCAAATACAAGTGCAGTAAGACTATTCGGCAAAACCTTAGGTTCAATAGTTTGATTGAATAAACCTTTTATATACAGAGACTTTAGTTTTGATGGTAAAACTCCTACTCCAATTTGATGATTATAAAAATATGATAACTCTAAATGGGTGACGCTTCTGGGGATGGAGTTAATTTGAAGAGGATGATTATACCTTTGACCAAGATCGAGCTTAGTTAAAGAGTTTGGTAATACGTTTGGCTCTATTGGCATATTAAAGTTTGACCCAAAAACCAATACCTTTAAACCATAACTAGGGAATATTGATATATTATTACTAAAATTATTAATATTACAATTATTATTGTTTATTGTTAATGACTGGTTAAATGTATTTGAAAGATATAGTGATTCTAGTGTTGGTGGAAAAATTATATTATCAATTATTAAATTTGATATTTTTAGTTTTAGATGCTTTATATTGGACGATAAAAAGTCTTTTGGTAACGCTGATTTAAAATAATTTTGATTTATAAAATCATCTACCAACTCTAGGCTATCTATGTTATTATTTATTTCCTTAATGAGTGGTAATATAATATCTTTATTATCTTCATTTAAAATTAATTTTATTGATTTTAAATAATTTTTAAATTTGTAATTATTATAATCAGTGATATTTTCTATTATTAAATTTTTTTGGTTGTAATCGCTATTATTTTGGTTATTTAGCTGTATGTTATAGGTTCTTTGATAATAATGATTATTAAATAATTTTAAATGGTGAATAATTTCATTCTTTATAATTTTATTATGAAATATTTTTAAAAAAAGGGTATAGTTTGGAATTGTTGATGAGGTGTTTGAAGGATCTATATTATTACTATTATTTTGGTTTGAAATGATACAACTATTATAATACATTTATGTATTTAATATATATTAAAAACTTCATATGAAGTTAACCCTTGAAATTTCATAAAAAAATAAAAAAATTTTAAAAAATTCATAAAATTGGTTTTTTTTTTTTTTTTTTTTTTTTTTTTTTTTTTAAATATCGTTATTTCCTATTTTTTTAATTAAAAGTAAATTTCTTTTACAAAAGAGATTCTATTATTATTTTTTATAATTAATATTTTTTTTTTTTTATTATAATTTCTATTTTAATTACTATTATTATACTGTTATTATTATTATATAATGTAATTATATTATATTATATTATTATGTTTTTATTTAAATAATTTTAAATTTATTTATTTTTTACCACTGTGACTCATCAAAAAATTAAAAAATTTTTAAATTTATTTTTAATTTTTAAATTTTTTTTTAACAAATAAATAATAAAGAATAATAAAGAATAATAATGCACTTAAATGGAAAATAAACATGATGAAATAGAGATAACTGAAAAATTATTTTTTAAAATATGGAGGAATTTAATATTAAGAAAAGAGATCATTAGACATATTGGAATATTTAGAAAACATAAAGTAGGGAGATTTTACTCAATTGAAGAAATATATAGAGAAAGGTTTTTAGAATATCTTCAAATATTAGAATATTATGGTGAGGATCCTTTACCTCCATATATTATTCCCGAAAGTGTTGATTCAGTTTTATTTGGATATGGCTTTAACCAACCACTCAAATACAATGTGTTACCAAGAAGTCTAAAATCAATTAAATTTGGCCAATCGTATAACAAGAGGATTTTAAAAGGAGTTATTCCAGACCAAGTCACTTCGTTAGTTTTGGGCTGTTATTTTAATCAGCCATTGGATAGTGTTGGTATAATTCCAAAGAGTGTTACTTATCTAGAATTTGGTAGTTATTTTAGCCATTTATTAGAGCCCGGTATTATACCACCAAGTGTACGTACATTGAATATGGGCAATTATCTTTCTTATTCAGGGTATTCAAAACCATTAAAAGTCGGGGTTATACCAAATTCTGTCAAAACTTTATTTCTCTCCATATACAAACAGCCGCTTGTTGAAGGTGTTATTCCAAACTCTGTGACTACACTCAAGCTAAGTGGTTTGATCACTAAACCTATCTCCTATAATGTTATTCCAAATTCTGTTAGAGAGTTATTTCTAGATTACTTTATCCCAACCGAAGGTGAACCAGTGTGGGTTTCAGATTCTATTCCATCAAGTGTAACCGAGTTAACTTTGGGCGAATATTTTAAAGCCCCTCCAGTAGATCAGTTTATTCCATCTTCTGTAACAGCTTTAAATTGTTTTGGTTTATCATGTATTACATTTGGCAGTATACCATCGTCAGTAACCAACTTATCCTTAGGAAATAAAGATTTACTTTCTCTTGAAACATCATTTACTCTATACAAAAATAAATATTCAGAAGACTCCTTTCCAGCTCCACCACCCACCTATAATAGCTATTGGTCTAGTTTATCAAAATTATATTCAAATCTTACAGGTAATAACAATACCAAACCAAATAACCCCATAGAAAAAAAGGAAATCATTTCAATAATTCCTCCATCAGTAAAGTCATTGGCAATTAATATTAATCAAAAAATCATCGAAGGAATAATTCCTTTGTCAGTAGAAACTCTTACAATTGGCGCAGCCTTTAGGAAAAACATTAAACCCTATCAAATCCCATATTCAGTCACTTCATTGACATTTAATAATCGCTTTGAAAAAGCTTTAAATATTGGTGCGATTCCTCCAAGTGTAACATCACTCTCATTTGATGAAGAGTTTGATCAATTATTACATCCTCGTGTTATTCCCATCAGCGTTACTTATCTAAAAGTAGGCCACAGGTTCACTCATAAACTACAAGAGGGCTCAATTCCATCATCTGTAAAGTGGTTATGTTTCGGTAAATATTTTAACAATCCATTAAACATTTATAGTGTTGGGTACATACCATTTTCAACAATAGATACTCTAGAATTTTTAAATAATAATTATAATCTCAGCAATTTAGACTTACCACTACTTTCGCACTCAATAAAAGAAATAATAATTGGTAAAAACAGATTCAATATTATAAATAACCAATTAGTAGATATAAAATAAATTTATAATATGTGCCTTATTTTTTTAGTTTTTTAAAAAATAAAATTTTTATTTATTTTTTTATTTTATTTTATCTTTTTTCTTAATTTAATAAATTTAATAATACTAAGGATAATAATAAGATCATTGAGTAGCCAATGAATGAACCAGAGCTTGAACTATCACCATTTGATTCTTCAGATGAGGCTGATGGGTTGGTAGCTGTAGCATTTTGACATACAACACCATAGGTGGTAACTGTATTTAAATTATTACTACTTCCACAGAAGAATGGATATACATTTCCTGTACTGCATTTATCATCATCGAATAAACCAAGTTGATATTGATTGGTACCAGCATTTGATTTAGATACTGTAGAGTATTTTCCATCACATGATGATTCACATTTACCAAGTTGGAGATTAACACCATTAGTTGGACAGTTGGTGCCTGAAACAGTAAAATCTTTGAAGTTTAAGGCATTGAATTCATTGGAGCAAGTTGTTAATTTACCATCAATTGTGGTATCATCTGAACATATGAATTCAGTACTTGATACTTTTTCTTCACAATGGTTATCTTGGTAAAGAGTAGCAACATATTTATTTTTTACTAAGTCGAATGTAATTAATAAATAACCACCAGTTGAACCACAGTTTGATTGGCATAAATCGAGAGTGAACTCTGGTTTATATGGGTTTGGACATTGAGATACTGTAAATGTTCTAAAAACAGAAACATCACTAGCTTTAATTAAAGTAATAAAAGTTAATAATAATAAAGAAAAAAGTAATTTCATTTTTTATTTGATTTATATTTATATATATTAATAAAAAAAAAAAAAAAAAAAAATTTCTTTATATTAACTAAAAAATTAAAAATAATAAAAATACCCAAATAAAACTCCGTTGATGTTAAGTGTTTTACAGAAAGTCTCTGTATCTTGTTTAAATTTATTTGAAAGAAAAAGAAAAAAATATCTAAATTTTTATTTTTTTTTTTTTTTATTTTTTTTTTTTTAGGTTGTGTTTTTGATATAACCTTCAGGCTATTTTTGGGGGATGTGATATTTTTTTGTTATAATTTAACTAAAGTAATTATTTGATTGGCAATAGGGGATAAATAATACAAAAGATAAATAAAAAATAATCATAATAAATAAAAATTTTAATTTTATTTGTGGTGATTTTTTTATTAAATTATGATTGGTTTTTAATTATTGTGTGAATTAAAATAAACATTGATTTTGTTACTGTTATTATGTCATTTTGTTTTTGATAAACTAAATATCGAATGTAATCATTTTCTTCTATCTTTTCATTTTTAAACTCTTTAATTAAAAGTTTGTTTAAATTACTTTCACCAATTATATCTTTAAAATTTGGAATTAAATTTGAATTATATAAATATTCTATGACATCATATCTACAAGAGTAATTGTTTACTTTAATTAATTCTTTAATAATGCTGAAGTCGATGCTCATTTGATTTGAATAGCATGTATCTTTGAAAAGAGATCTAACAAGATGATTGATTGAGGGATTTCCATCGATTAGTGAAGCCTTGTGAAGTTTTGAAACGGATATCTTGTGTTTTAATTGTGTATTCAAAATGAACTTTTTCTTTTCTTTCAAAACATATTCTGCCAAAGTTTGATAGGTACCTAAAGATTCAAAGATGTCTAGTATAACTCTTTGTTTTTCATTTGTTGATTCTAAATGGTTGTTCCATAGGAATTCGAAAATGTCAAATCTGCAAGCTGATAAATCTTTGATAAATTTATAATTGTGACCTACACCGCCGTTTAAGAATCTTTTGATTAATGGATTATAAAACTTTTCAAACCAATAAATTGAAATATTATTATCTAGTAGGCTGAATATTAATGATTCTGAAGGTGAATTTAAAGTATTTAAATTTGACATTATTTTTGAATAGTTCGGGATCTTTATTACATTTTGAATAAACTCTAATGAAGCTGGATAATAACCTTTTCTTAGGCTTAGTGATAAATCGATTTCTTTTGGATAAAATGAAAGTACTTCACAATATTTACTATTATCAACATTATTATCATTATTATTATTGTTATTAAATTTGACTTGATAGTTGTCTGTATTGATTTTTAAATTTATATTTTTGATAGGTATTAATTCTAATATCAGTTGATGTTCATAACTTTTGATGTCAATTTTAGAAATAATTTTCTCTAAAAGATACTCGGCACTAAAAAGTTTTAAATGTTCTTTAAAATGATTTAAAATATTGAAAATATAATTTATATTATTACTATTATTTATAACTGATATTAAATCATAGATATTATTATTATTATTATTATTA